AACTAAAGGTTGGCTGTTTGAACCGACCCACTGCAATTCTACTCTGCAACCATAGGATCTCCAAGAGATGAGACTGGTTGGACAGTGGCTGGAAGGCTGCATTAGGTTCTTTAGGTGTGGCCGGCCCCAGCATTGGCATCACCTGGAAGCTTGTTAGAAATGGAGACTGATGCCCATCCACCCCGCTGAATCAAATCTACTCAATCAGATCTGCAATTTAGCAAAATTCCCAGGTGATTCACGGGTGCATTAAAGTTTAAGGAGCACTCTGAGGGTGAGGTCTCAATGGGGAGAACAATCAATGAAAACGAGGTCATGGTGTCCTCTTTCCCCTCGGCCTCCCACTGCAGCACAGCTCTCATTACATCTCGCTTGTGTCGGGAAATCTTCCCACTGCTTTCTAATGAAGCCTCACCACAGTCATCTGAGATTACAAGAGTTGGTTTCGTTTACCATGTCCCTGACAAGCATCCAGAACTCCAACCCCTTGAGAGTCGTGCACAGAAGCCTACAAATAATTGATGTCTGGTAAGCAGTAAGGTCAGCTGGGAGTCCAAGTTTCTAGAGCAGTTCTAGGCCTGTTCCTCTCAAGAAAACAGCATTAAGCTGCATATTCAACCTGTATTTAATACATTCCTTATGTGGCAAAGGAAATGAGCAGGAGGCACCCCTGGCCAATAACACTCAGACTAGTGTTCAGGGAAAGAGCTTGGAAACAGACAAAACCTGGTGGGAATCTCTGTTCAATCATTTACTTGGGGGAAGAGGGAGGACAAAGTTTCTTTATTTGCCAATGGGAAATGTTCCCTCTGCTAGAGAACTATGCACAAATTCATTCAACAGTTATTTACTGGGTACCTAATAGATGCTGTGAGCTGAGGATACAAATTGCTCCACAGAGCTGAAAATGGCCTTGGGAAGCAGTGACAAGGGCTGAGACAGGAAACCTGGAGATCTCCAGGCTTCCCAGTGAAAGGCATCTGGCTCAGACCTGAAGTCAAGCAGGAGCTCACAAAGTATCTAAACTGAGGACTGACTCTGACAGAGAAGAGCAGCCAGGTAAATGAGGAGGAGGAAGAAAAGCAAGTAAGAGAGAGGTTCCTTTTAAAAGAAAAAATCCATCTGAACAAATATATAGAGAGCTCTGGTGGCTAAGTGGTAAGGTGGCAAGTGGTAAGGAGTTATGCTGGCATCCCAACTTGAATCCATCAGCTGCTCTTGAGAGAAAAAAGTAATCTCCTGTGTGATTTACTAGCTCTGAAAACCCCGCTGGAGATAACCAATGAGTTAGTTCCAACTTGATGGTACACAGCAGAATAATATCTAACAGCAGTCTAAAGCCATCATAAAATCAAAATACCCAAAAGAGGGGAGCGAGTGCTCTTTTTCTTTTGCAAAGTTAGATAATACACCCTTTAGTTGTTTCATAGTAAACAGTAGACTGGACAGAGAAACACAGCTCTTTCATATGACTTCCAACAAAGAATTGCACATTTAGTTAAATAAGTGACCAGAGAGACACAGTTACAATATGGGATTCTAGAAATCCAACTAACATTTTATTATTAATTCCCAATTTTCAGACAGCACTCATGTTTCAAATTTCCTGTATCTGATTACTTTATAAATCATTTTAAGCCCACTTAAGGGCTTAGAAGGCATGTCAATAAAAATTTTTACTTAGAAGTCACTGGAAAACAGCTGACAAAAGTGCAAACAAGACTCTATTAAAGGAAATAATGAGAATGTCCTACTACTAAAATAACTTGTCATCTACAAAGTAATGAAATGCCCTATACTCCTGAAATATAGCTCTTGGGGGTTTTTGGTAAAATTTCTCATTCTGTGAATGTTTTGTAGTCACTAAAAAGTCTCACATATAGAAGGGCGTACGGCTATTGGAATCAGCAACTACGAACAGGGTATGTATAGCTATTCAAAAGGGGGGGGGCACTGAAGAAAATGGAAGGGGGAAAAAACCAACAGGGCAGCTGAGATTAGTTGCGGTATGTGAGGTGTAATGGAAAAGGCAAGGTGCAATGGGGACTTGATGAGATGAGGTGGTAAAAAAAACACTAATCAATAGTAAATAATCATCTACCACATAACCCATATGAATACCAGTATTTAAAAATATACACACTTATAGACAAATAAAGGAAAATACAGTTTTTCAGAAAATAAAAATTATGTAAAAGTTTTTAATTCACTTTTCTGTCATTCATTTTGTCTTATTCTAATTTTGAGCTATTTTGTTGTAGTTAGGTGTCACTGAATCAAGCACAACTCAAAGCAACCCTCTGTCATTCTGAAGAGAAATATGTGTGGTGACTTCCTAATACTGAGCACAACCAGGCACATTTTCTCCAGATGACCATCTTTCAGCATCTTTTTCTTTTAACAACTCCTTGAACCTATGTGATAATGCTGCATCTCTGTAAAATGCATTGGCTTAACTCAAACCGTAGTACTACAAGCTGTTTTGCTGTGCTACTCCTACTCTTACTCCTTGCAAAGACTTAGGCCTTTGTTTGAAACATAGTGTGTGTTGGGCCCCTCTAGTGTTGGGATGTGAATTTCTTTTTGGTTTGCATTTTGTTTGCAAAAAGGGAGTAGTTTATCATTAAACTACTAACACAGCAAGTAAAAAAAAAAAAACAAAAAACAACCCTCTGAACAACAGACCTGAATCCTGTCCTATCCTCTGCCATCCTTGTCATCTCTGATACACTTTAGCTCATTACTGCAGTCACGTGTCAATCTACCTCACCAGAGATCTTCCTCTCTTTTGCTGACCCTCCACCTTTCCAAATATGATATCCCTCTCCATGGAATGGCCTCTCCTAGCTACATGCCCAAAGTATGAGAGACCAAGCTTGCATTTTTCCTGCCAAGGAGCATTCTGGGTACATCTTTTCCAAGACACTATCTGTTCTTTTAGCAGTCCACAGGATATTCAGTACTCTTTTCCAACACCATAACTCAAAGGCATCAATTCTTCTGTCACCCGTATTCATTACTGTCCAGCTCTCAGAAGCGTAACAAGTGATTTTAAAGACTATGGTAAATCCACTCTCTGGAAGACAGTTTGGCGTTTCCTCAAAGAGTTGAACATAGAAACGCCTTAAGACCCAGCTATTCCACTACTATGAAGATATCCCAAGGGAATCAGAACTGAGACAGAAACAGAGATGTGTACACCAATGTTCATAGTAGCGTTATTCACCATTGCAACAACATGGAAACAGCCCAAATGTCCGAACACAACCAAATGTATTGAGAAACTGTGGTACTTTCACATAGCAGAATATTATGCAGCACTCAGGAGCAACTATTTAAAAAAATACTGCATAACTTAGGAAAGGCTGGAGAGTATTATGCTGAGTGAACAAATACTACATAAGACCATTATTGTAAGAACAGAAGGACAACTATTAAAACATGTATGGGAACTCAAGGAGGAGAGAGATGGGGCTGGAGGGGTGAGGATAGGTAGGTGTGAAACTACAGGGTTGCACAGTGTGGTAGGTGGACAGACGAAGGGAGGAAATGGGAAGGATCTGGACAAAAAGACTTGGACAATATGGGCAAGGTCCAATGGTGATTAATTTTATGAAACATAATACGTGAGAATGATTGTATGAAACATAATGTGAATGAAAAATAATGTGAAGCACACTGTATACAAACTTTGTAAGCAAGCCAATTAAAAAAAAAAAAAAGAAAAAAAAACAAGTGAAAAAGTACAGTAGTTCCAATCGCTATCTAGTGGTAAAGGGATTCACATCTGATACTCATTGTATTTACAACCTCTCCTGATCCCCCATGCATTTGTAGTTACACCTACATCTTTCTTATAATTAAATGACTCATTTTACAATGAAGATGCTTGAAAGAACTGATTTTCAACTTCAAATAATTTGCAACTCAGCTTTCCTCTTGACCATGAAAAGAGTTGGGTTTGGTTTTGTTGTTTTGTTTTTTTTAAAAAAAAGAAGAGAGAACGTGGCCTGAATCAAATACACCTTAGTCTTCAAAAACTGACATTATTGCTCTTCAGTATTCTAGAGAAGTCCCTGACAGCTGACTAGCCCAAAGCAAAGTGCCTCCTGCTATCTTGACAGCTAGTACCAAGTGGGTTGGTTGTGGATCCAAGTAAGATTAAATCACTGACCATTTCAATCCTTTCTCCATCTGTCATGATGTTGCCTATTGTCATGGTGGTAAGGATCTTGTTTTCTTGATCTTGAGATGTAATTCATACTGAAAGCTATAGTCTTTATTCCTCTGTAGCAAGTGTTTCAGGCCGCATCACTTTCAGCAAGTTGTGTAACCTGTATAATGCAGGCTGTCAATGAGTCTTCCTCCAATCTTTATGCCACGTAGTTCTTCAGAGTCCAGCTTCACCAATTATTTGCTCAGCATACAGATTCAATAGGCCAGATCAAAATGAGAGAAATTTACTTATTTGGATCTTACTAATTTTGTCAAAGGCCCATAAATATGATTCTTTTTCAAGGTTATTATAATCGTTGATGTTATATACCATCAAGATACCTGCTACTCACAGTGACCCTATGTACAACTGTTCTGAACTTTGCCCTGTCCAGAAAGCCATTCTCACTGTCTCCAATAAACTTATCCCATTACCCCAGTTACTGTGTCAATCCATCTTATCCAGAGACTTTCTCTCCTGCACTGTTCCTCCACCCTTCCAAGCGTGGTATCCTTCTCCAGGTACTGGACCCTCCTGGCCAGATGCCCAGAGTATATGAGATGGATCTTCAAATTTCTTGCCTCCAAAGAGTGGCCTGGTTTTAACCTCTCCAGGGTAAACTTGTTTATTCTCTTGGCAGTCCATGTGTAACACTTTTGTTTGGCACCACAACTCAAGTCATCAATTCTTCTGTCATGTACTATACACTACAATTTGTCATTAGCACTGATTTTTTCACTTACGTATGTCATAACAGCATTATCATATAATGGGCCTCACTCACCTGAGCATCTTCTTCAACCTGAGCTTCATTAATTCCAGTATCAGGGTCTCGATTAGCCTAGAAAAAATATGGTCACAGTATTGAGTTACAGAATAATTTTTGTTTAAAAGAAACAACAGTTCCAGCTAATTGTTATGCACAGAGTTGGGTGGGGTTTTTTTTGGGGGGGAGGGGTATGGATACTACTCAATATCCTCTTCTTCCAAGTTGGTATCAATCTTATAATATTTCACATTATCATACAGCACTGGTCAAATCAGACTGATATATCTAACTATAAATTCTATAGATAAAAAAGGATATTGCTATAAGAAAAAAAAAACCAAAACCGACCGCAACTATTTATTAGCTAATGGAGTTTCAGTGAGACATTCTAAAACAGACACAGTCCTCGTGCAGCCAGAACTATTAGTAATGATAATAAAAGTTGACAAGTACTAACATTCACTAAAAGATGCAGACTTTCTACCCCATCAATTGAACTCTACAGTCCCCACCCAGTACCTGAAGGAGAACCACCAGCATCCTCTGATAGTATCCAGAGGTATCGCTCACCACATCATCTTCCAGGCTTGAGCCATATTCTGCAACAGAGTAATTTCACCCTTATTTACTGTTTCTTCCCACCAGAAAATGATGCATAATCAAGTGGAAGAAACATAATGGAAGAAATACTGTATTTGATTATCAAAAATTCTCTCTGCTTTGTTTCTCAACACTCTAAAGATTAAAGGCAAATGTTTTAAGTAGGCAACTGACTAAAATTCATTTGAAGTTTTAAAAGCACTGGATTCAAGGCTAAATTGTGATCCATTCATTTAAAAATGTTCCAATGAGTATAGCTATTAATGTGTAGACATATAATGGTATTAGAGAGACTCTCAAGTATAATTCATTTTAAACTCTTGGTTTAGTTTCTTTTAAAGTGTTACATGATTAGTTTTAAACATGTTTGTTTCTGAGTTTTCTTCCTTTGGTGATGGCCTGAGATATCTCCAATACTATGTTTTTTGTCCTCCTCTGCAAATAATATTCTGAGACACAACAGAGCTATTTTGAAGGGTATCCCCTACACTATTTCTATTTCCAGTTGTTCAGCTTGTAACACCAATAACAGCTGCCTTTGATTTCAACTCTAAACGATGGAGACTCCATATACAATGCGTTTCAGAGCAGACTTGCCCTCCAAAAGGTTCTCATGGCTGTGACTTTTCAAGAACAGATCCCTGGGCCTGTCTTCCAAGGCACCTCTGCGTGAATTCAAACCAATGATCTTTTGATTTGCAGACCAGAGATTATCTGTTTCCTAGGGACTGTTCTATTCAATATACAGACCACAAAGGAAGAGAGAAATGCAATCTGCAAGAGGCTTTTTCACTCACTAGCTAATAGCTGGCACTGTAGGAAAGGAAGTCTTACACTCAAGCACTTAAATATTTAATCATTATTTGAAAGCAGATGAGGAAGCTGGAAACTTCTATTTGAAACAGGCCATAAGAGTGCAATGTTTATTTCAACTAGTTATCCAAATATGAAACTTTAAATGACCCTTTGATTCCTGCCTCAGTTCCAATACTTTATAGTTGGTTTTGTGTGCTGTCAAGTCAGAACCAACTCACAGCTGACCTTCCAGTGGGTTTTAAGAGGCAGTAGATTGTATGAGAGGAGACTCTCCATCCTTCTCCCATGGAGCAACTGGTGGTTCTGAACTGCATCCCTTTGAGATTGTAGTGCAGCTTCTTACCACTAAGCCAGCAGCGTGCACGTGCGCGCGCGTGTGTGTATGTGTGTGTGTGTGTGTGTGTATGTGTATAATTTATCAGTTCCTACCAAGTTATTTCTCCTCTCTCTGATTTATCCACCTCTAACCATCCTAAGTTGGGTTGTAAATACTAAATACATAGCTTATCTTCCCACCATGATACCTGCATAATCAGTCTCATGATAGAAATCTCCCCTCTTACAACTATTTCTTCAAGACGTCACTGCCCATTCACAAGTTGCAATGCCTTTGAATCAAGTTCAAATATCTGAATACAGTCTTGCAATGTCTATAGCCTAGCCCAACCTCACTTATTCAACTTCTTTTCTACAGTGGACATACACATACCTTCCACTGCAGCCAACTTCCCTTTCTTCCTGAGTCATGCAAATGGGTTGGCAGTTTAACTCCACCCCAAGGTAAACAGTCCTGGTGATCTTTCAAAAAGTCAGTCTTGAAAATTTTATGGAGCAGATCTACTCTACATAGGTAAGGCTGCCATGAGTGGGAATAATTCCACAGCAACTTCTGCATGAATACGCTCTCGTCAATACAGTCTACCTTTGTAGGCAGTAGAGCACTGAAAAGAAGCCCACCAGCTACCAAAACCCACCTATTTTTTGAAACCCTGTACCATCTAAAGCTGTGACTCCCTCTCCTCTTCTGGATGATTGTTTTCATTAAACACAGTGTTTGACTTTAATGCTCCTTTAACTACTCCAGTTGTTTTGTTTTGTTTTAAATTTTATTTTATACTGTTTTATATACGAGGTTCATAAAGTTCATTAACATTGTGTTTTACACCGGACCTTTCCACTTATTTCAAGGCATGTTGCCCATAAAAGGATTCTAAATTCCTCGTGGGCAGAAGCTGTGTCAGGCATACCTTCTGTTACTCACGACAGCAGGTAATACAACCACACAAGTGCTCAATAACACTATTATGTAGGACGGGCCAAAACCATTGTAATTAATCCCACTGTGGCATCCCAACAGTCACTACTGCACACAGCTTGCTTATCAATACCCCCAAGCCCTTTCAAAGAGATCTTTGCCCATTACATCAAATAATTAGTGGGCAAGTTCAAAAGTCTTTCTATGGAATTGAGATACATGTCTCACTTCTGCCTTAGTAGTTAGGATCTATCCACTGGGGGGAGAAAAAAGAAGCAAGAATAAGAGACCTAACTCTTCAGAAAGGTATTCTTCAGTTGCTCTAAAAGTCACATTGTTCTGACTTGTTGAATTGCCAAAATCATTTCTAAGATTAACAAACTGATGCAATGGCAGAAGCTCATTTCTCTAGCTAAAAGCACATCACTTGGAAGTTTGCTAACTGTGCTGACCACCTCTTTGGTCGAGTCCTCCTCAGTCAGGTAGGGGAAAGAATATGTGGCAAAAGTTCAACAAGAAAGAAAGAACCCTCTGCCTTTCCTATTCATGGTCTAGCTTCCATGCACAGCATATAGCTCAGACTGAAAGAAGGGCTGTTTGGAATGTTATGTTGTTTCTTTCAAAAAAATAAGACATGTCAAAAAGAAAACCCAAAAAGGCAGAGCACTCAATGTCATTAACTAAGAAGATGTATGTTTTTATCAACTCTGATGTGGAAAAACTTAAAACTCAAACATATTGCCATCAAGTTGGAACCATTGGTTTTCTGAGGCTATAAACTATATGATAGGAGACTGCCCATCTTTCTCCCTCAGAGCTACTTAGAGAGATGAGGTCTTTAGGTTAGCAGCACAACTCCCAGTGGACTATGTCACCAGAGTTGGGTGTGGTCCCCCACCTCCAGCCTACAGGTTCCAAAAAGGCTCACACAGAACTAAATTTCTTAAAGGCAGAAAAACTTCTTGCACTTTAAAGTTAATATAAAAGGAAACATTATGCATGCCCCTATACTAATGACAAATACTCTGCAAAA